TATGAATATAGATATAAATTATGAAGAATACGATAAAACGAATTTGATGCTGGCAAAAAGATTTAGTAACACAATGAGGTATATTGATGATTTGTTGACATTAAATAACACATCGTTTGATTCCGCCATTGATGACATATACCCAGAGGAGCTTAAACTCAAAAAACATCTGAATCACCAACAACACTGTCATACTTAGATATACCATAAAAAATGGGAAATATTCCAATATTCCATGGCAGTGTATGATAAACGGGATGATTTTAACTTCAAAATTGTAAAATTTCCATATCTAAGTTCCAATATTCCTCCTGGACTGGCATATGGAGTCTATATTTCCCAATTAGTACGTATAGGTAGAATATGTAGTGATTACTCTGATTTTACGTTAAGACATTTCAAACTAACGGAGCGACTGATTCATCAAGGATACAGATATTCTGATTTGTGCAGGTCCTTATACAAGTTTGCTAAAAAGAATGCATAAATTATGAATAAATATAGCTACAGCATAAGCAAACATGTGGAGGATGGTATATGTCTACCAGCAATGGATAGGTCCCTAAGTCACCATGTCTCGCATAGATAGCATGTATATTTTTAGTGACATTTATTTTGGAAAATCTATTTTTAACATTTCTATTTTATAGTTTTCTTACACGTGTATATGCTGTGCATTACTTAGAGTAATCATAAGTTTTTTCTATCTAAGTTGCATCGTCGTACTGCGTAAATTTCAGAGTTTTTCTATTTTTCTATGAGTCTTTGAGGCTTTCTATTTTCCTACTGGCTGTTGATTTTATCCCGTAGTTGCTGTTCTTTTGTATATAATCTCTATATATAAGTATAGGTTATACGATGGCGGCGCGTGGTTTACTGGTTTTACACGAGTGGCCAGTTTTGATAGGGCACGAGGGCGTAGCCCGAGTGGTCTATCAAAACTGAAGCCACGAGTGTACAACCAGTAAACCACAAGCAAAGTCATCTATAACGTGTTGGTATGATGACATCTGGCGGTAAGCTCTGACCAATGAGATTGCGCAAAAGCTTTCAAAACGCCCTCTTTTTAACGCACACCCTCGAGTGTACGGACGTACGGAGAGAGCTAGCGCGCGATCGATCGGGAGCGGAGAGACAGCTGCAATAAGCGCTTTAGTTTGGTCAAGCTGGGCGGTTCTGCAGAAGCCATGGTCAGTTTTTCGAGAGTTCAACGTTACAGGTACGTCAAAGCTATACCTTTTCGCTGCTGGACTCCACACGAGTTTTGTAGCTGCCACTCTGGCTCGCTTTCTCTCCCACTGTACCCAGCACTCTCGAATGCAGCCTGTTGCAGTAGCAAGAAAGCTGAAAGTCACATACTGTTCCTGTCTACGGGAGCCTACGCGTCGGGAAGCAGTTTTTAGCTAGTTTTCACACCGCGTATATACTAGAGCAGTTTCTGGCCATTCCAGCCTGAAAACACTCCCTTCTGGTAAAGAAACAGCAGCACACAAAGAGTGTAAAAGCCCCCTAATTGCATTACACGCTGCCAATTTCCTACTATCGTATAACTACCATATACCCATTGTGGTTTATGCAAATGAGTTGACATACAGCTAAAGTATGGGGAAATCGTATGGCCTCTTTATGGTATAACTACCCATAAACTCAGCAGGAAGCGCTCACTACGCGTGTACGTTGTTTGGACTAGCTGGAATTCCTTTGATCTTACTCTCAGTCATCATACAACTATGTGTAAGGGAGGTTGGGACACTGGGTGTGTAGGGAGAGTTGGGCCCATAAAAGACTCTTTAACCTACCACCCCGGTTCTCAAGGCTGGGCGCCCAGGGTCCTGCCTCTCTATTTCTGTCTATATGTTATTTGTCTGACATTTCTTCTTCTTTTTTCTCAGACGTGTACATGTTGCGCGTTATTGCACGTTTTTTTTCTATCTAAGTTGCATCGTTGTACTGCGTAAGTTTCAGAGTTTTGTATATTTTTCTATGATTTGGGTGGGGTGGTTTAAGGGTTCTTTCTTTTCCTCTCATATTTTTCTTTTAACTAGTATGCTATAAACATGTTTTTCATTAAGCATGGTTAATGAACAGATTTGAGCATGCTGACACCCCCAACCCCATCACACAATCCCTATATTGTTGCCTAGGTGAAGTATTAAACGTTCACCATTACAATACTCAGCACTTATAATACAAAAAAGTCATGCTACGGAGTAACAAACACTGTTATAGAGTCGAAGTGGAAAGAGACTGGCAGTATTATACGAAGTAGAAATGTTACCAAAGACAACAAGGGGGCAGTGAAAGAATGCTTGCTTTTAGTAACCCTTCTATAATGCCACATTCCCTATAAGAGTAGCACACCAGACAACAATATAGGGATTGTGTGATGGGGTTGGGGGTGTCAGCATGCTCAAATCTGTTCATTAACCATGCTTCATGTATCCCATCCCTATCTTGTCTCCCTTTCTTTTTATACAATCCCTATATCCCTTCGCAGGATTTTTTATTTACTTGTAAATCATAGGCTTTCAGCCATGCTATCATAAACAATGTCCGACACATCGACACCCACGTACTTTTTACAGGATCTCTTGAAATCAACCCGAATTGTGTTATCTCCGTAGATCGGAGATCATTTTTTATACGTATCTTGTGTGCATGGTGAAAAAAAATTATGCCCAAACATGCACATTCTAGTCCCTATGTGAAGAGCACTCCATAGTTTTTGTTGCACCCAGGTAGTGTTCTGTGCATTATTTAGGACCGTAAATCTCCTGCAGGATAAGATCCCTGGGTAAAAATGTCAGTGCAGCAGCACTCCCCTTTAATGATTACACAACGTCTCATCAAACACATGCCAACAACTGGCAGAAGACAGACAGACCCAGTACACCACGTCCTTTTATTGCGGAGGTATTGGCTAGAACCTGGGACTAGGTTGTCAATAAAGCAAGTCTTTGTGTGCCGGGACTGTCTGGTGGGGCGGTTAAACTTACCATTTGCTTTCTCTGAAGCAAACGATTGGTTAAGAACTTCCTGGTCCGGATGGTGCAGCTGTCAGAACTCTGAACAGAAGTAGATTGACACCGCCATGACACAATCAAATCAAGAAAAGCCTAAAACCCAGCGCATTCGTGCACTCACCATGTTTATCTTGCAGGCTGGCTTAGAGACCGGTTGAACACGTGTTCATTGGTAAACTTTGAACTTTTGTTAGATTCCTAGGAATTCACACTTTGACCTACGTACAGACCGTGCGGTCCAGAGCGATTCTTGCCGTACACTGGCCGGCAAGTGCGTCATTCTAGTTGCTGCAAACACGCGTTTCTACTTCGCTATTCTGGTAAGAATACAAAAGGTGACGCGATACGAGAGGTAAGAGAGGGGAAGAGAATATAGGAATAAGAATGAGAGGAAGAAGGGGAAGTAAAGTAAGAGGAAGAAGGAAAAACCACAGGGTAAGAAAGAAGAAGAAATTTAGAAAACTTATATAACCTGTTAAGCGGCGCTATAACTTTAGAAAGCAGCTAAAATCGCATTTTTAAAATGAAGCCAGTGTAGCGTTGGTGTCGCATTTTGGCCTGTTTGTTGCCCGAAACGTGCTACGGTGAGTGACAGACGCACACCCGGACCTCTGTAACCCTCGCTGCGCATGCGCACCGATAAAGTCCGTGGGAACGCAGTGTGGCGGTGGAGGTAAAATGCGGGCGCTGACGGATGAAGAAACCAGGGTTGTTTTTGAAAAGTTATCGAAGTTGTGAGTGGTTGTACTATGTTTGAATGTGTGGTTGTCTCTCAAACGTCACCAAACGCTCGTTTCCCCTTGTGGGTGTGACATTAAAAAAATCAGCATAGCTGGCCCCTCTTAATTAAATTTTACTCTCTGTGGTATAATATTCTGGGGATGTGCAGGTTTCCCAGTAAACCCACGGACAGATAAGTGGCTGATACACCACACCTGACTGGCATTAATGAATAAGTTAATACCAATATATTATAATAATTACACCTTGCTCTTTTTTATAGTGTAGGAGAAAATCTGAGATATCTTGTGGAGCGACCTGATGGAAGCTACTGCTTTCGGCTACACCGAGGAAGAGTTTACTACGTAAAGTATGTATAGATATTTCTGAGGCTCATTTTCCACTCCCAGTGATATTTTCCATGCGATGGTTTGGTACCAGCACACCTTTAATTGACCACACCCACACTGCCTTTGCTTTCCTGGGGTAGTGTTTGGATTCATTCCTCTGGGGTTCCGGCAAGGTGTTGGGGCGTTTCGGTAAAAATGTAAATAATTCCAACTTTCCCCTCGCATTCTTGTAACATAATTGTTGTGTTTGATCTGAGTGGACTTTGTATTATTATACACAGCATCAATTAACCGAACGTTCCGTCTCCAAAACCTTGCAGGAGCATATATAGCTGCCTCTTGATCGCTAATAATCTCAGCAACTGTTAACGATACACCATAGCAACTGCATAATTATGTCCGTTGATACATCTGAACAAACGCGCTGGTGAGGAATAAGGATACTGCATGCCATGGGCTTCTCGGAAATAATTTATCATTAACTAATGTAGTAATTAGTTCACAGCTCATAATAATTATAGCAGTGTTATAGCAGTCCTTTTAGGTGAAGAAAGTTGTGCATCAGTAAGTGTGTAACTGTTATATAAGTTTGGAAGGGGAAGGACACCTTCAATAGTGGGGCAGGGCATTTTGTCAAATTTACGCGTAAAATGTGCAGTTAGTGAAATTAGTCTTGTAAACTATGCCTGTATTTACAAGTCTATGGATTAAACCTCTACCTAAAATTTTGCATGTGCCTAGCACACGCCTGTGTGCCTCAATAATTCTGCTGCCTATGACATAATTATGGCATTGTCATAATCATAACAACAGTCCGTATTTGTTAGGTCAATTGGACCACAATCTGTTTTTACTTACTGACACAGAGAGGCACTCATGAAGTGGGCTACCAATATTGGGAGAAAGAATTTGATCAGTATGGGAGTATGTGTTGGAAAATTTACTAAAAGCAAGAAGTTTCACATGCAAATTACTGCATTGGATGTGATACAATCCTATTCAAAGGTACACAATATACGCCTGATTTCCAACGTTGTTGTTAAGTCGGTAGGTTCACTCTAGTTAGGTACCAAATTGTGTGGGAGTCGATGTTGTAAATATCATTAACCCTTGGCGTGCATGCATTGAACCAGCATGAAAAATCGGCGTGGTCGCCTTTTGTGGCGGAGTTGCTACGCTCATTCATTTCTAGTAAACTCTAATATGTCTATACATACCATAGGACGTGGAGAAAACCACCGTGCATGGCTAAGAACCGTTTGCTCCCAGTGCATCACATACACTAGGTCATCCCTATCTTATCTTCTTTCAATTTACTCCACACTTGCTAACTGTGTTATGCATGAAGATGAAACTCGGTACATGTGTATCAATCGTACCCATGACAATTTGAAGTATATCCGGGTAGACAGCATTTGACAGTTGCCAACATAGGCAATAAGCAAGCCAGGAGAACATGATCAGGCACCCACTACTTGATGTCGCTGCCAGGGCTGCGCAATCAATAGCGTTGTCATCTTTCGCAAAGTTTGCCCATACCGGTAACACCCTCTATAAAAAGCAGGTTTAGAGCTAGTGTTTTTTTTGGCCGCCTTGTTGCACGCAGTAGCAGAAATGTGGTAATAAACAGACGCACAGACCAAGTACTCTATAGCTGTATGTTCACAATGTGTCGCATGCTTTGCCACATTGTGAGGATAGAATCCATGCGCAACAAGGGTTAATTGGCGAGTGAAGCGAGCCTACCTACGTAGTAGTTTTTCTGTATTTATGTCTTTGTCAGGCGCTGTTACTACTGTTGTGTTGTACGTTATTAAATATGCACAAAACACGTGCGAAATATTGAACTACTCGCGCTTGCTTACCAAAAATGCGTTGCATTCCTCTAGTAATTGTTAGATTACGTGTTTGTGAATGACAAAAAATAAACACATGAAGAAGCACTAAAGTGCAAACCCTCGGCAATCTGCATATGCGTGGTACCGCCAATTGATGGGCTGGGCTATTGGTATGCGCTTACTCGTGGTCTCCCGCTAGTAGCTCGCGGAGAGCCTGACACGGGCCATCTACTGCAGTAGATACCATGCGGGCGAACCCGCTCGAGATAAGCCTTTTCTATTAGCATATTGGCTTTTTCGCTTGTGTTTCACGCCGTAACTCCCGAACACAGCAGTAAACCCTACATACCTTTCTACCTTTATTCGACACTGAATACGTGGTATTGCCCACAAACAATCATGGATATGGCGGTATATAACGGGTAACTAACTTTCTAAATTTAGCTCTTATATGTTGCCAGATTTCCTGTAAACAAAGTGCCTGAGGCTAATCATTAGGTTTTCTAAGAGTAAATGCATGATAATGACAATGTAATACACATGTTTACGATGCAAGGTTCATCTCCAGGCGTGCTACTTAGCAAGTTGGAAGAAGTGATTTTTAACAAATTACATGAGTACTAATTTTACTATACTGCCAGTTGAAAAAGTGAAATTGCATGAGGCTCTTTGTAAAAACACTCGTAATCAAATATCATATGGAAAATTATGTAATGAAAAGCATACAGTGCAAACCCTCGGTGAACTGCGCATGCACGGTACCACTAATCGATGGGCTGGGCTATTAGTATGCGTTTACTCGTGGTCTCCCGCTAGTAGCTCGCAGAGAGTCTGACACGGGCTAGCTACAGTAGTACATAGCATGCGAGAGTCGATACACGACCTTCATTGTGACTTCTTGTACCTTCAAGGTACGCAGATGAGATCAGAGCAAGCAGACCCGGTCGAGGTTAATAAGCGCATGTGCATTTTCCGCAGCGATAAAATGGCCGACTATGCACTAGCCTACAAGCGTGGAAGCGCTCTAGCTTTGCAACGGAGCGTTTTAGAGAAAACCGTTCCAAACGTCTGACCTTCATTGCCCGTTAAGTAGGTGGTATCCTTTGTGAGACGGACGAACACTCGAGAAGTGAGATGAGGAGTAACAGACACACACACAGACATACCCAACTACAGTAACCCTCGCTGTGCATGCGCGCCGAGGGTTAATAAACATGTGTACCTAGTTCATCTCTATTAGATTCAGAAATTGTTTAGGGGGCATGCTTCCCTCTAAAAATGAGAGCAGACAAAATATTATTCGCTGGGATAGATGAAGCATGGTGCCTAAGAGGAGTATAAGACATTCACGATTATGTATTTTAGCGGCACCTATAGCTGTCGTACTATTACTAACAGAGTGCAAAAGCGTCTTTTTAGATAAACGTCTATTTGGATGTGAGAGTTGCACACCAGGCGACAATACAGATTGGGTGATTGGCTAGGGGGTACCATGCTATCCCATTTCTCCCTTAATCTCTTCCTTATTGAATCTAAAATTCACATGATTTTTACTGCCTTACACTGGTGAAGAGCGAATGAGTGGCAGTGCTTCTGTGCGCTCTTTCATGTTACTGCACGTTGCATACATGACATATTCTAGTAGATAGCATGCGAGAATCACCTAATTTGATAACTTCTGGTGCTTCTACAGGACACATATTGGTTCAGTGCTAAACTGCATTTTGGTTTGTTTACTTGTTTTTCACACCAAAACCTTTGAACAAAGTAATTTTACGAACATATGCCACTCCTAAAATCAAGCAAGTCTATCTTTCAATTGCTTTTTGGCTTTTTGGCTTTTTGTGTACAATACTGTGGTTCAAAGTAAAACCATGGGGTACGTTCATGTACTTATTATAGCACTAAAGTGCAAACCCTCGGCGAACTGCACATGCGTGGTACCACTAATTGATGGGCTAGGCTTTTTATGCCTTTATTCGTGGTATCCCGTTAGTAACTCACGGAGAGAGTCTGGTACGGGCTAGCTACAGTAGTAGATAGCATGCAGGATTCGATACATGCCCTTCGTTGTGACTTCTTGTGCCTTCAAGATACATAGAGCGAGCAGACGTGGTCGAGGTGAGCCTGTGCTAATTTGCATGTTAGCTCCTTGACTTGCTATTCACGCCATAACTTTCAAACTCAAAATTTTTACCAAAATCAAATAAAGCCAGTGTGGCACTGAACCCGTTGGTATCGCTTTTGGCCGTCTTGTTGCGCGTAGTGGGAGAAAACGTGGTAACTGACAGACGGACGGACGGACAGAATGACAAACCAAGTACTATAACCCTCGCTGTGCATGCGGGCCGAGGGTTAATGAACTGTATGCCAAATAGATGTGTATTGGTTTTTTTTGTTGTCACTTTCACAGTTCAAGATGTGGATAAAACCAAATGCTGAACAGGCATTTCTATATGGAAATCATGTATCCAAGTCTGGATTGGGTCGTGTTACAGAGAATATGGTTCAGTATCAAGGAGTTTTGCTTTATTCAATGTCAGATATCCCATTGGTAAGGTTATGGTGTCTATAATTACCTAATGAGGGATAACACCTTGTACAAGTGAATAAAAATTTCTTCGAATAAAGATGGTATAAAAAGGAAGTAAGGCGACAAGACAGGGATGACCTATTGCACGTGGTAGTAGCACAATGGATGCTGCCTCCATACTCTAAAGTTCTAGGAGAATTACAGAATGGCAAAAGCTAGTATAGCTGCATGCTATTCTGGGGGGTGAAAGGAGATGAACATGTCCTTTGATGCATAGTCCTATCTTTAGCTCACTAAAAATAGCTGTCGAAATGATGTCATCTAATAGTGAGATCACGCAAAAACCTCAGTCCTTTCACCGATGAGATCGATGTCTTTACGTAGTCTTTCGTCTTCTCCCTAGCTCCAATTCCATCAACTTCCTTTCTGCCACCTAATGTGTAAGAGTGGGTAGGTGGGAAACAGACATGTTGATCTCCCTTCATCCACCTCATATAACCCAGAATAGCATGCAGCTATACTAGCTTTTGCCACTCTCGGAGGCAAAAATGTATAGGCTGAGTCAGTCCAGGGCGCGGTTTTTGTCCGTTGTCCAGATGTCGGAGGCAAAATGCGTCTTGGAGGTTTCTAATGTATTAGCTCACGGTAGTTTCAATCAGTTCTTAGTGTTTGTCCGCTTCTCATGAGAGGTTCCACTGTACATGGTGTTTGTGCTAATAACTTGCCTACTAAACTGCAGGGGTTAAACTGCGCAAGGAGGAGTGTGAAGAGGTAACACATGAGAGTAGGTGTTAGAGTTGTTGTCACGTTTCCTACTTTTTACCTATCCCACGTGGCCCTCACTTTCTCCAGGAAGGCTCTGGTGATGATAAGCGGGCTAGACCATACAAATTCCCATCTTTCACCGTATTGTAAGGTTATGGAAGCTTGTCACTGCTTCCATTGCTGTACTTAATGACTGTCAAGTTGAAGTTTGTGCCTTCTTATGTTGCTATGCTTGCCATAGACGACGGAAAGAAGTAGCATTAGACAGTTGAGGGTTAGACAGTGTCGGGTGCTGTTGGTTGCAGGATATCCATTTTGTGGCTGCTGTAGTTCTCCCATGATGCACATCATCAGTTCAGAGATGCCACGTCCTTCAAGAGGTCATAGACTTGTAGTATTACTGATACGACTGTGACATTTCTTCTGTCAGTGATGGAAGATGCTGTATTGCTGTTTATGTCTACTACATCATCCAGCATACTCGCTAATGCTCCTTCTAACGTGCGTTAAGGTTTCCATTTTTTCAGGGATTTGGTGTCACTTCAAAAACTACTCAAGAATGCCGGCGTGCTGAACCTGCCACAGTTATAGCCTTTCATCAAGCTGACACAGGAGAATACATTCGATCAGAGACTACTTTAGTGTAACATTTTGTATTTTCAACTGTGAATATTCTATCAGCCATTATGGGCTTGAAAATTTACATACATATATGTGCATACAGAGGAGAGGTGTTTGTGTGGGCATAAGATTTGACAAGGTGGAGTGGTTGTGGGATATTGACAATTGTGACTGTTCCTTGAAGGCGTTTGTGTATACATAAACTGGGGAGTTGAGGTATGTATATTCGTCACTATTGCTGATAGTATATTCGAACTGAATGCAAACCTCGTTTAATTAGTGGGCAAATGATGCCTCCTTGATGACTTAATTAAAAGCACTAAAGTGCAAACCCTTGGCAAACTGCGGTACCACTAATTGATGGACTGGGCTAAGCTATAATATTAGTATGCGTTGTCTCCCGCTTGTAGCTCGCGGAGAGCATGACGCGGGCTAGCGACAGTAGTAGATAGCATGCGGGAGTCGATACACGCCCTTCGTTGCCCTCAGAGCAAGCAGACCAAGCCTGTGCTAATTTGCATATATAGGTTACACTATGCCCACGAGACGGTTTAGTGGACATGCACTACAAGTGCGCAGCACGAGTAGTGTATGCACTAAACCATCGAGTGGGTGTAGTGTAACCAATTTGTACCACAGGAATGCGCACTAAGACAACTTATTAGTATGCATGCCATGGTGTATGACAGCTCATACACCACATCTGAGTGTATGGCTGAGTCAGCACACAATACACCATGGCATGCATACTAATGAGTTGTCTTAGTGCGCGCATACACTGCGTGCTGTGCCTTTGATTTCTAGGGCTTCTGTGGTACAAATTGACTTGTTCACTAGCTTTTCACGCCATAACTCTCGAACGCAGTACCTGTTGAAAAATCATGTCAGATTATATTTAGAGCTGGGTAATTCAAATCGCGCAATCTGATTGGTCGATGCTCTGACCTCTAAATCGCGTAGAGCAAATTTTCCGGACTCTAAATTTGGCTCTGCGCAATGGATCACCTACGTTGGGCTGAGTTCCAGCCATCTGCGAAGGTTTGTTGGTCGTCCCTCGTTTGATCATTTGTCGTTTAACTCTAGTTGCCAATTCTATACTTTGAAGGGGCCAGACCCTGTGGGGGTGTCCGATTCCGTCATGTGGTTGTCACGTGCGGACCCCGTCACGGCGGGTCACGTGATGACACTTGGTCGCCCCGTGCGGATGTCGCAGGTAATGTGGTAGGCCATTGGCTGCCTGACTTGGTCACATAACCCCGTGAGCATCCTCTTGCTAATTACCGGCTTCGTTATCTTGGCAGGACACCTCCAGCTGCATGCTTCTTTGGGGGAGTATGATTGCGAGCCACTGTCGTTAGGGGCGAGTCCACCCCACGCCGGTAGCATGGTCATTCGGGTCATGATATCACATCATGCGTAATGCAGAACATAATGGAATCCCAGTCTCTCCCCAGGTGCACTGGCAGGGTTGGCGGGACGGGAAATCTGACGCTGCGACCAGAACGTGACCGTCTGTCTGAGATTCACCTTGAAACTGACACCGTCGCACGTGGTGCTTTTCTGGGCATTCGCATGTGCCTCGTACGGTGGTATAACGTCGGCGCACTGCGGGGGCTGGCTTCCTTTAACCTACTGTTAAATTACATTTAGCAGGACGGTAGCCGTTCGATTGCGGACGTGCATGTTACGGCGTGCGTATAATACTAAGCGCATGCGTAGGACAGCTTAAGCTCGTACAGATTCTTACCAGGCACACATGAGTGGCAGCGCATGGCGGCCCGATTTCCTTCAACCGGTGCAAGCGAAGAGAGAGAAGACATTGGGCTAACTTCATCAAGTCAGCTGAGAAGGGGCAGAGACCTCTTGATGGAAATCAGGCAGCAAAAGTAGACGGTGCACTGTGTGCCTGGTACAAAGGTCACAAATCGGGACGAACTTAAGCTGTCCTGTGCATGCCTGGGTGTAGTTGAGTAGTTGAGTTGTTTGCCTTGCCTTGCCTTTCTACCTCATTACCAAGTTGTTGAGTCATGCAGTTTGGAGTTGGGCGTCTTTGGTGGTTTAATTACCCCGGTCTGCTCCGAGTGAGAGTTTACTGTGCCATAGTACAGTGGTTTGAGGTTTGCCTTGTGTTGTGTTGTGTTGTAGTTTCGAACTCCTACCAGCTGAGTTACCCTGGTAGCTCAGTTGGTAGAGCGCTCGCCCAGACTGCAGAGTGTCGTGGGTTCGGATCCCACCTAGGGCAGCTCTTCTTCTTAAAAGAAAGAGCTGTCCTGGGTGTAGTTGACTTGTTTGCCTTGCCTTTCTACCTTGTTACCAAGTTGTTGAGTCATGCGCTTAGTATTATACGCACGCAGTAATGTGCACATCCGAAATCGAATGGCTACCAACCTGCTAAACGACACACGATCAAACCACAGACGACCAACTATTACAATTAGCATCCTTGCTGCACTCGAAGGCCGACAGCCTAGGGCCCCGCGGCTCTCTAATGCACGTAGTTTCCTGGACTCAGCATCTAAATATAAGGTTTATTTCGGAAGGCTCGGTCTCCATATCAACAGTGTATGGCAAGTTTTCCTGCTCAAACAGCTAAATTTTTAATTTAGTAGCAATTGCGTAGTGACTTCCACATTTCCAGGGGTGTGGCTTCATTACGTACAACTATAAAAGCCCCGCAATTCCTTGCAACCTCAGCCTTTTTCTTAGCTCGAAGCGAATCTCTCGTGTGTATTTACAAACGTTCGAAACGGTGCGATCGATCACCAATGGAATCGATGACCGAATGTGGTATTGTTCCGACGACGCTCCTGAAGACACTACTGGAGCCTTTCGACTATATGGAACGCAAGGTGAAATCCCTCAAGGAAAACGAGGCCACCGGAGTGCGAGCAGCGCTTCTGACGTGGAGACTTCGACAAGGCGCAACGGTGGCAAAGGCATTCACACAGCCCCGGTCACCCCGGAGGGGAACACGTCCGAGGCTGCAGAACGCCACGGCTCGAAGGCACGCCGCCACCTCCGCCGTATAAGGCGCTCCGACGTTCGTAGACGGACGGATGCAGCGTGCCCCATCTACATTGAGCGACGACGAATCTCGTCGCAATTGCGATTGCGGTCTCCCTGGCATAGATGGAAGGGTCGAAGCCAAGGGGAACTGGCGACGACGACTCTGAGAATCCAGGATCGCACTCTCCCCGCCGACAACAGAGTCGCAAGGAAAAATCACGCGCTTGTCACTGCCGCTGGTCCTGGACTGACCACATGTCCGAAGCTATGGACCATTCTGCGGAGGTGCATTTTAGCAATTCAGAGACTGAGCATCAGTCTTGCACCAAACTGACGGAGGTGTCCGAGAGGACAGGGAAATTCCTCCGGGAAAAGTGCACTCGGAGAGTGCCTAATTCCGAAAGAAGGGAAATAAGGGAAAAATCCCCTCTGCCCAAGGTGGCACAAACCAGACCAGCACAGCTGGACCCAATGATGAAGTCGGAGACTTGCGCTGCAACCAAAGCAGCAGACAAGCAACTGACCAAAGTGCAGACGTTGCTGCTAAACTCCCTGGCACCTCTCACCGCCATCCAAGAGGCGCACCATGAAGGTGTTACCTTGGAACACAAGGAGGTGATCCTGGCAGTGAAGTCGGGCTTGCACGTCATTGGCAACGCCAATGCACACTTATTACACCTCCGGAGAGAGAGGATCGTAAATGATATGAACAAAGCCCTTCTCCCAATGGTCGGAGACGATAACAACTGTAAGGAAGCGGCACCTTTTCTCTTCGGCACAGAGTTTGCCAGGACCTTATGTGACCTTTCAGTGTTCTTGCTGGCGGCAAAAATACATGCAGAGGCGGTAGTGTACCTCCTGCAATGTCTCGGTTTCAAGATAAATAGGGTGAATTGCGGACAAAGAGGGGAGGGGTGTAAGCGACACGCGCATGCGTATCAGGCTTGGCATACACGTGGCAAGAGAACGGCAAGAGACTGGTGCTGCAGCTGAAGATTTTTTCTCCTACAGCCAGTGTCTAGCGCGGGGCCAGCCAAGATGACGGACGAGAGTGGCAGAGCCGGGAGTTCGAGGGAGACGGAGGCAGACATCGGCTTCTCGAGGGCCCAGCAGGACGCATCGGTGGTGCAGGGAATTCTGGAAAAGGCCCTCCCCAAGGGGCAAGCATCCCGAGAGGGCGGCGGCAGCTCGTCCTCGAACGCGGGTGAGTTAGCCGGGAGTTTAGAGGGGAGGGCGCATCGAACCAAAAACTGATGGGGGCGGCAGTGGGCGCCCAGGTTGAGCCCTTTGTGCTGCGCCACATGCAGGTACCGAACGCGAGCTGGGGGATATGCCGCTGGAGGATACGGTAACGGAGCTGGACCTCTCAACCGAAACATCCGAGTAGGGAAAAACCGAGACAGGTGGTATGGTGAACCCGTTCACAGCACTTATCCCATGGCTGACGTCAGCTATTGGTAGCTCATCACTGCCAAGTGGAGGGGTTGACAAGCCGTCCCGGTACTTGGTGGTAAAAGGCATACCCACGATCCCTCTGAAGTCAGCCGAAAAGATCTGGAAGCTAGACTACGTGGAGATGGAGGAGTTTCTCCCAGCCCCACGGGTGCTGCGGCTAGCGGAGCAGGGCCCCCGGGCGTCCTGTCCTCCCTACAAGACAGTTGGTTGGGGCCCTCAGGCACTTCCAGGCTCTCCAGCAACACAGGTCTAAGCGACAAGTGACGGACATCACTTCCTGGATCAGGTGCTTTACCCTCTACATGGCGGTGTTGTCCAAGAAGTAGTGCCGAACATGGTGGCGCACTTCCACACCGTGCTCCGCCTACATCAGAGAGCATCTTACCAATTGGCATGGTTATAATTTCGCATGGAGTTAGCTGCATCAACCGATCGGTCCTGGTCGTCCGGCGATCCCTGGCAATACATCTCGTGCCTACCATCGGAGCGGTCCACAAGTGACCCCTTCGAAGTGTCAGAGCTGAATCAGGAGCCCCAGTACAAGGGAAAGGGGAAGTGTCCACCGGAGCAGGATGGAGAAAAAGGGGGTTCCCAAGAGAAGCCGCCAGTTAAGAAAGTGAAGAAAGGGGTGTGCCGGCTTCACAACACGGGTTGCCCATACGGAAAGGACTGCATCTTTCTGCACCGATGCACTAGCTGCGGGGCAACGGATGAACACGGGTGATCAGCCTGCCACTATCGGCCTGACAGCCCCGCTAGCCCATCCAGAGGCTCGTACGATAACCCTGCAGCCCCTCCTCAGAGGAGGTAGTCAGTTGTCAGGACTAGGACATTGTTGGACTCATAAACTCACTTACTATCTGCTATGTTCAGCTTTGTT